GTAAACAAATAGGAACCCTTGAGGTGGTAACAATATTTTATATATGATAAACAAACAGACAATGTATTGATTGGCACTCATAAAGTATAAAACACACTAGACAACATAAAAATCTAAAGTTACAGCTTATCGTACCGGGAATCAAACCTGTCATCTCCAAATGGCGTATTCATCTCGCTATAGAAACAAGTGTACAAAAACTTGACAAATAGACATCAAGAATAAAGGGGACTTCCTTGGCCACGTCCAGGTCTTTCTGTAAATAAGTCCTTCTGACCTAATCACGTGACATTTTGGCGAAGTCCACTCGAAAACTGGTTACTGCAAGCCGTTTTTGCATTGTGTGACATTTTAATGTGCCTACAAAGTTCTGTGTTCTGAACGTATTCGTATTACAAATCGACAAGCCGATATTGTGAAGTGGATATACAAGATTTTCAAACTTTGCTGTAAGATTACAGCAATTTGAATTTAAATTCAAGGGAGACAGTGGTGTTGTGATGTGTGTGTCACTGTGTACAGTCAGTAGTTTGGATTTTTTTGAACTGGCTGTTGATTCTTTTTTTTTACTTTGAATGTGAAAATTTTACTTTTGGGGTAATACAAACAAGTAATTTAGAAGCCAGATCTGGAAAATATCGTCATTTGTCAAGTGCAAACTATCTTGTGTTGGAAGAAAACTATTATTTTCACACTGACTGTGCATAAATGAATAACTACACTGTACATAAATTGTATCAAGATATTTCAGAGCTCTGGGTAAGTGGATAAAAACAATATTTTATTTACTAACCTCTCACAGCAAGTCACTCTTTTCCTCTTTACTAATTGTTGACTAACAGTATAATTATATGTTGTAGAAGTACACTAATAATATTAATTCTCAACCATTTGTGTTCATTTTTTGTGAATCATCTTCTGCTTCGAGATTACTGGTTATAAACTATGGCAGAAACTTCTGGTTGTTCATCTACTTCTTATGCATATTTGCAGTTGTGCGGTCTGTGTTCATTTTTGTGAATCATTTTCTTCTTTGCGATCACTGGCTGTAAACTCTGGCAGAAACTTCTGGTTGTTCATCTACTTCTGGGCTTTAGTCTTGTTTCAGACACTGTTTTCAGCAACGAGACCCGGTATCTATATGGGGAATTTTTGTGTTTGATATGTGTATGCTGCACATCATTTGCAGTTATATGGTCTTATTTAATGTCCTTTAACCACCTTTAAAATAATACACCATTCGTGATACTTATACGCGTTGTTGCATGCAGTATTCAGAAATATGTGTGATGTATTTTTAAACAGTTACCAAAAAATTCACAATAATAAGGAACTGATTTCATCCAACAAGATGAACCTGGACAAATTTGTTTGTGCTGTTGTACCTTAAGGATAAATATTTAATAGTGCTATAAGTACTGTTAAGAAAACTGCTCTGGGTGAAAAATTATTGCACATGTCAATTTCATATTGACTGTGCTTGTTTACTAATTATTAAATAACAGCATAATTATATGTTGTAGTAGTAGTCTACTAATGTAATAATAACTATCAAGCATTGATATTTATGTTATGTATGGTATGTGTATGTTTCACAGCAGTATTTTCATGTGCTAAACTTGATAAAGTACAAATGTCACCCCACCCCGGGTCCTCTTATGCAATACCTTTTCAGAATCAAAGAGTTTGCACTAATATGAATATTTCTTTACTTTTGCTGGAATAACTTCCACTTTATATCTATACGTTATTGATGTTTATGTTCATGTCGACTGTAGCAAAAGCATTTTTGTTTGTCTGTGAGAGCCTTTATTGTTATATTTTAATAGCACACTTATTTACCTTAAAAATGACAGAGTTCTAAAAAATATGTCGGAAATTAATAAAACTGTAGTTTAATTTGTATAAACATCTCCTCGATAAAAACTTAACACAGAGGGACTCCATTCTTGCACAAGAACGGGAATCCCCGTTGACCTATTTGGCATACAAACAAAGTCGGCCGTGGCCATGTCTATCGTACAGCCTGAAATCCACTGACTACAACTACGGATTACGGACATAATTCATCTCAAACCATTGAAATAGCACCATAGGTTACAGAAATGTATATTAAACAAGCATACGTAGAGTAACAAATACAGCAACAATTTACAAACAGCAGACTGTGATGCTTTGTCTAGAAGACACGAACATTTAAGAAAGAGGTCTGATTGGTAATTCAAGACTATCTTTTTACTTCTTTCTATGAGTGCCTATCAACAGACACACACACACACACACACTATTGAAAAGTAGTACAGGGAACGAATGAACTTTATTTTCAAAGGGTCATAATTTGGGCACGCAGGCAATACAAGCGGGAGGAAAATATTAGGAGATGCACGAACAGCAGTCTGTGGTGATGTACAACCAGAGAGAGAGAGAGAGAGAGAGAGAGAGAGAGAGAGAGAGAGAGAGAGAGAGAGAGAGAGAGAGAGAGAGAGAGAGAGAGAGAAACACCTAAGCTGGAGGAAAATCAAGAACTAACGACATAACGTACAAATGCCACTCTCTCAAGTAAACAATGGATAGAGAAGCCGATTCAGTAAACATTCTCAGCACAAACCAAACCAAACCTGTGCTTACGGATCGGGCCACAGTTAATGTTCAAATAATCTACTTTTTCAGGACGGCGCACGCCTAATAAGCAAGGAATGCCCCGTGCTGTCTAATGGCGATGCTGCGCCGTACAAACAATGGTGAATGCCGCTTACTGAATATCAAAGTCTAAACTGCATCCGTCGGCAACTGTGGCTTAGGCGTTGCAAACACACTTCGTAATGTCGGGGTGCTGGGGTTCGATCCCAGCTGCGGACGATTTGTCTTGTGTTGGTTTTGACGGTGGTACCGAAAGCTGACCGTTCATCGCAACGGCAAACTACCGAACGTAAAATGTGCCTAGAAAAAACACAACTGCCAAAAAAAGTAAAAATACAAATGCTGGGGTTGGTTCTGTAACGTCCTGTAAAGGATGCGTAATTAACTTTTAGTCGGCGTCTGTGACGTAGGCGTTGTGATATCTTCAGGATGCAGAAGTGCTCAATCATGCGTGATTTGTGTCAGTACCAGCGCTCACACTGACCAAGATCTAGGCACGCCTCTCTGCGGTCATACTGGCAACACGCTCACCGCAAGGCGCCTGACCAACAGAGATAGGAGTGACGCTTCTTTCGAAGTCGGAATGCATTAAAAGATGTGCACGCAACACTTCCGATTTTTGAACAAGAGCAAGGTCCAAAAGCTGACAAACAAAGACGACATTCCGCTAGAGTTTACAACCAGTGAACAACTCGAAGAAGATGAAGATAACTGTATACATGCCAAATTGTCATGTCATCGATGATTTTTTGGACAAGACTATTTGAGTGGTGGCATGCGGACGGAACTCAGCTCGCTAAGGCCTAGCGAGTGGTCTGCGAAACACTGCCAACAGTACTGTATTGATAATCTTTCTATGCTGGGACTGGAAGCCGCCGCGGTTTAGTGGCTGGACGCTAGCCTGCGGATCCGAAGGTCGTGGGTTCAGATCCTGACAGAGCCAGACTTTTTTCAAAAATGACCTTGCTTCTAGGTTGACACTGCCTTAAATGGGGACCAGGTAAAGTCCTGGAAAGTAAAGGTGGCCGGCGTGATGCTGACACATCCTCCCATTGACTGCATATCGTTTTATAAAATATAGGTCTAGCCCTTTATGTCGAACACGCCTGAAAGCGTGGAAAAGGGTCCTTTACCTTAGTTTCTATGATAGGACTCGGGCCTTTGACCCGTGACGATCCCCATTTCCGACATTTAGGCCCCTGAGTTGACCATCCCAGCACTAGGATAATATGTAGGCTAGTGAGAAGTGTTGTGCGCTACAACCACAGGCAACAATATATTGGTATGTGTGCCCTTCAAAAAGCCAGTCAAAATGCAGCAGGGCCGCATGAAGACTAACCTTCCAGGTACTCAAGAAACCACTGCTCTGACGCGAATCTAACAGAAGCTAATTACGAAAAAACCCTGTTCAACCGTAAGAGTAGTCCGTCGCTGTTGTCTTAGACAAATACGTACAATCGCACACTGCCTGCGTATTCTTCGATACATGCCCACTGGTCGACATTCAACAAGTGAAAGAAACAGAATCATTGCTCTGTGAGCTTTTCTTGAGAATAATGGATCAACCAGGCCATTTTCTGTACAAACCTATGCATCATAGGACGACAATAAAGTGCTTTTTAAATTCACTGGTCAGTGAAGTTCATACTAGAGACAACAGTGAAAATATAGATAATCTGATATGATTTTATTTAAGAACCGACATCACTGTACTTGGGGCATTCTCATAAGCGCTCCGTCCCCATCTTCAGTAGCCAGCGAAGAGTTCCGATACTAATGGTGACAGTAGCATTCTGATTAAACGTCCGTCTTGCCTTTCCTCTGAGCCTCGAGCATGTGCCAGAACCTCTCGTCACTCCCCCCTACATCAATCTCCACAGACAGTGGTGATCCATCTGCTCCTCTGAACTGTGCTCTCCCACAAGGCCCTGTTTTATCATGCATCAGTATTCCAGCAAGTTGTGCAGCGGCAGCCAGTCTGTCCGCCTGTTCATTTCCCAACACACCGGCGTAACCTGGTGACAAAATCTAGACAATACTCCTCACCCGTGACCTCCGCAGTGAAGCAAGCCACTCTGCACGAAGCATACCAGTTCTGATCTTCCTCAGCATGCTTTATGAGTTTAGATAATTTAATTCACGCAAACAAAAGAAGAAGAACTCGCCAGTACTTTTCACAGGACTATGACATGATCGTGTTCAATTAGGCCCGATGCAGCACGAATGGGTTTCAAATGTAAGCTCCACACACATACCTATCGGCAAACATGTAGCAAACAAACGTATCATAAACACATATGTATATATATACAGATGTCACAAAAGCGCATACATATACACGTCACAACATAATCACTCACCAAATATCTCCCCGTTTGGGGCATACTCGGACACCAGGTATAGCATGTTCTTTGTCTCCATCACCTACACCGGAAGACACCAGAAAGGGAAATCATCAACAAATAATCACAGAACTACGAAAACAAAAAAAACTTTTCCATTAATTAAAAAAAATAAAAAAAATTTAAAAACACTTCTCCTTTAAAAAAACAAAAAACTATTCTCCCTTTCCCCCATTTTGCTCTTCCGAGCTGTTACCTAAAAGTTTGACAAACCTGAGATGACACAAGTCTCAGTCTGGGGCAAACCAACAGGACAAATCCTACACATATGTCCCGGTACGCGTAATACCCACACCAGATTGGCGTAACCAACCGTCCGACTGAGGGGAGGGAGGGAGGGAGGGAGGGAGGGAGGGAGGGAGGGGAAGGGAGGGAGGGAGGGAGGGAGGGAGGGGGTGGAGGGAGGGAGGGAGGGTGGGGGGAGGGTGGAGGGAGGGAGGGAGGGAGGGTGGAGGGAGGGAGGGAGGGAGGGAGGGAGGGAGGGTGGGTGGGGGGATGGAGTTGAGGGATGGGGAGAAAAAAAAACATCCACACTGGACTGAAGATTAATTGCAACCATTTTGTAAAGTGAAGGACCCTTTTCCACGCAATCAGGCGGATTGAACATACAGGGCTAGACCAATCGGCACTTGATAGGCGATGAGGTCAGCAACACGCCGACCGCCTTTACCATAGAACTGCACCAGGTACCCACACCCACTCAAGGCTGGGTCGACTTGAGAGCCAAGGTCATTAAATTTAAAAAAAAAAAGATCGGCTTCGTCAAGACCAGAACCCACGACTTTCCGATCCGCAGGCAAGCGACTAGCCGCTACACCACGGCGACTCCCAACCATCTTGTAGTGCCCCGGTAAATATATCCAAATAGACCGTGCCGTCTGCACAATGAAGGTTGGCTACAGTTGTGTCAAGGCTGTCTTTGGGGAAATGGCTGTTTGAGGAGACAGTCTCTTGCACGGTGCGACTCTCCTACTATGGTCCACACGTCAGGATAACGAATTCATTCCCCTTCCCCGCGGGAAACGTTGTGTGTATGCACACACACACACACACACACACACATATATATATATATATATATATATATATATATATATATAATATGTATATATATATATATATATATATATATATATATAAAATAACAAAAAATGCATTGATGGGCACTCATGGAAATAAGTAGAAATATAAGACACACCAACAGACAACTGCTTCCAACGGCATCTCCACCGCTCCTAAAGGCAGATCCTCACTGCTCCCAAAAACATCTCCACCGCTCCTAAAGGCAGATCCTCACTGCCCCCAAAAACATCTCCACCGCTCCTAAAGGCAGATCCTCACTGCTCCCAAAAACATCTCCACCGCTCCTAAAGGCAGATCCTCACTGCCCCCATAAACATCTCCACCGCTCCCAACGGGAGTTCCTCACTGCTCCCAAAAACATCTCCACCACTCCTAAAGACAGATCCTCACTGCCCCCAAAAACATCTCCACCGCTCCCAACGGGAGTTCCTCACTGCTCGAAAAAACATCTCCACCGCTCATAAAGGCAGATCCTCACTGCTCCCAAAAACATCTCCACCGCTCCTAAAGCCAGATCCTCACTGCTCCCAAAAACATCTCCACCGCTCCTAAAGGCAGATCCTCACTGCTTCCAAAAACATCTCCACCGCTCCTAAAGGCAGATCCTCACTGCTCCCAAAAACATCTCCACCGCTCCTAAAGGCAAATCCTCACTGCCCCCAAAAACATCTCCACCGCTCTCAACGGGAGTTCCTCACTGCTCCCAAAAACATCTCCACCGCTCATAAAGGCAGATCCTCACTGCTCCCAAAAACATCTCCACCGCTCCTAAAGGCAGATCCTCACTGCTCCCAAAAACATCTCCACCGCTCCTAAAGGCAGATCCTCACTGCTCCCAAAAACATCTCCACCGCTCCTAAAGGCAGATCCTCACTGCTCCCAAAAACATCTCCACCGCTCCTAAAGGCAGATCCTCACTGCTCCCAAAAACATCTCCACCGCTCCCAACGGGAGTTCCTCACTGCTCCCAACGGACATCTCCGCCGCTTCCAACGGTATTCGCACCGCTCCCAACGGTACCTCTACCGCTCTAAACGAAAATCTCTATCGTTCCCAACGACATCTCTATCGCTCCCAATGGTACCTCTATAACTCTAAAAGGCCTTTCTATTGCTCCCAACGGCATCCTCTTACCGCTGCCAAAGTCACCTCTACCGCTGCCAAAGGTATCTATACCGCTCCTAACAGCACCCCCACCGTCTAAACCGCTCCCAATGGCACCCTTATCGTTCACAATGACAAGAAAACCCAGCTAACGGTTCTATTTTATTTTCTATAACATCATCTCCCTCCGCCTGACAGAATCACACAACCCCCCCCCCCCCCCCCCCAACCCTTCTTTTTCTGTCCCCTTTGCCCTGCCTAGTAATGCCGTTTCTTATTCCTATTTGGATCAGACAGCCAACATCAGTGCTAGCGTCCTATGCCGTGATCGATCAATAACCACACAGGCTCCCACAGTAACACAGAATCTGAGCATTTAAACAGACCCTACCCCCCCCCCCCCCCCCCCCCCAAAAAAAAAAATTTGAAGACGGAGGAGAAGAAAGAAAAATGCAAGTCGTGCGTCAATACATTCCGCAGCAAATGAAGTGAATCTAAGCGCTGTTAATACCTTGAAAGTGAACATGGGTACAGAAAGGAATCAGACTGGTAGGTATCGCTGTTATTACTACCAAAGGGTGTTTAAAGCAACTGGTATGGTCGACAATGCGTCTTCCAAAAGTACTTTCCAGCACGATCTACTGTATTACTAAGAATTAATCCTTTTTAATCATCATCAGCAATTTTCTTTATGCCTAGTGGCATATGAGGATTTAGAGAGGACTTTCCTTGCTTTCCTGTCCTGTGCAATCTTCGGTGCAGTTTTCCATGTCAGAGATGCCGCACTCAGGTCATTTTCTATCGTTCGTCTCCATGTTGCTTTTGGGCATCCTTTCTCTCTCTCTCTCTCTCTCTCTCTCTCTCTCTCTCTCTCTCTCTCTCTCTCTCTCTCTCTCTCTCTCTCTCTCTCTCTTTTACTCTGGTAACCATGTGAGAGTTGTTTTGGGTGGTATATAAGGATTCATTCTCATTACGTGGTCAAGTAATTTCCATCTTCTCTTGGTTATCATACTGTATAGAGGTACTTGGTTTGTGAATAGAAGTAGTTAAGTGTTTGAGATTATATATGGACGGAAAATTTTGATAGTTCTACGTAGGCATGTGTGGTGGAAGGTGGATAGCTTTTGTGCATACTTTTCGGTCATTCTCCAGCATTCTGCTCCATAAAGAAGAACTGGCAAAATGATGCTCTTGTAGAGTCAAAGTTTCGTTCCTCTGCAGTAACTGTTGGATTCCCAGATTTGCCTCATACTTCCTAAAGCAGCTCCAGCTTTGTTCAGGCGTGACTGTATCTCTATCCCTCCCAGTAGGGACACCACACTACCAAGATATGTGGAATGATCTATATTTTCAAGTGTTTGGTTATTAATGGTCACTGATTGTTGGTTTAGACTGTTTGTTCACATAAACATGCATGTATACAAGAGAAAAGAAGCAGACTACACAGCACAGCAGAAATGGTGGGATTGAGAATAATCCTTTTTAATGAATTAGATTTAATTGTTGCTCAGGTGGCTGGCTCACGCCTGAAGAATGGAATATGGCAGAGTCCCTAAGGACATCTTCTATGGTGAATTAAAGAGGGGTAGAAGATGTCGAGCCGCCCTCTACTACGATACAAAGATGTGTGCAAGCGCGACATGAATGATACAGATGCTGAGGTGGACTCGTGAAAAATTTTTTTTCCATGAACCGTGTTGTGTGGAAGGGGCATATACGAAAGAATATGAGAATGGAGGAAGAAATTATGGCAGTAAGGGTGAGAGCTGAGCGTCTGAAAACAAACAGACGAAACACAAATGTTGACAACAACGGTCCTGAAATCCCATGCTATAATTGTAGAAGTCTTTTTCTTAACGCAGCGGGTCTTGCTAGTCACAATCGCCATCGCCATAAGCTGTGAGCTCATGCCTCCTCACAGCGCAATATAACACTATCGTCTGGAAACACGGAAAGATGTCAATCACACTTAACTGTTGTATTCAATTCGTTAGTCGCAGTTAGAACCTCACCGCAGAGGGTAAGCCCCATTACTGCCCCCGTACCTGTGGCAGTGGAAATCATTCAAACTGTCTTTCACTGTCTCGTTTAAAATATAACTGGAAAACATGTACCATCAAATGTCTGTTAGCTTGCACACGCAAGGTAAAAATGCATAAATGCACAAGGTAACAGTCAGACGTGCCAACACTAACGGTCCCTCGACAGAAATGCAGTTCAATGTTGGAGAAAACAGTTATTCACGCAAGCTAAATCGACCACCCTCATTTTAACTCAATCAATAACACTTTGCGAGCACAATGGGGGGGGGGGGCGGGACACAATTCCGCAATAAAACTATAGCCCACAATGCCGCACCAAACCACTCAACACAGTAGCTGGGTGACGGAATCTCTGGACTTCCGGTCCAGTAAAGGGAAATTTGCTTCAGCAAAACAACGCTGGAAACAAATAAATTTTTACAGCGCCAACAGTCAGCCGGGTATCTGCCATTCTGACCAGAAGTCCCGTCTTCATTTTCCTCCAGTACACTTTTCCTCTTCCGTGTACCCCATCACAATTTTGGGGGAAGATGTAGGTATCGTCCGTGTGTTCTTCTATAATGTGTTGTAGAGGTTCATTCTCATTCCCCCCCCCCCCCCCCCCCCCCCCCCCCCCCAGCGTGTGTCTCTAGCGGCTGGTACCAAGGCATTCTCGTCAGATGGCAAAACAATTTCAACTGCTGCTCTGTATGACTGGTTCAGTCTAAGTCTTATAATTGTTTCATGTTTCGTGTGACCTCTTCTTGAAATTCCGGCATTTCGTCTTAAGACATCTTATCTCGGTTGTTATGAT